GGTGCTGAGGAGACAGGGCAAGGAGGGAATTAAAGCAAGGAGGGAATTACAGCAAGGAGCAGCCAACCAAACACGTGTTGCTCTCCCATTGGTGCGCCAAGTGCCATGGTTGCTCTGGCTTTTGTTGTTGTGCACCTCTCAGATGATGCTGGATGCAGCAGGACACAGGGCCAGCACACCACCAAGCCTTTCTGTAGGAATCCACAGGATGAGGCATTCCCACAACATGTCAGTAGGTGGCAAAAAGCTACAACCCTTGTGCTAAGCTAGAAATAAATGTTTTTCCCGCTCCTGCAAGAACAAGAGATTCCTGGGGGCAGCTCCAGCCCATCAGTGGAGATGGATCATGTTCTTCCTGGGCCAGAGATCCTGCCCCAGCACTGCTGGGAGGGAGGGGACATCCCAGAAAGGGCAGCATCCCAGGGATGAGGGTAAAGAGGCCCAGAAGGGCAATGGGAGCTGTCTCCCTCCTCTGAATTCATCAGAAGACCCTTGTGCCATATCTTCACCTTGCTCAGGAATTATTTACAGAAAGCTGGAAACCATAAGGGCTTAGTCACTGCTTCCAGCACTGGAAGACAACAGGTTTAGGACACAACACGGGCTGAGGATGGCTGGTTAGACTAACCAAAATGTGCTGATGTTTTTCAAGCTGATGATAATACTTTAATCTTGGTGTAGAGCCTGAAACGGAGCTGCTGGAGTCAATGTTCTCAGGTGCTTTTCTCTCCTGGCTTTGTGTAAGCAGATTGAAGCAATCCCAGCTGCTGTCACACACCTTCCAGCGAGGCAGGGCAGATAAAAGGTTTAATAAGGTTAGCAAATACATCCCAGTGGCTTTGGTGGTGGTTTTTTTTTTTTTCCCCTTTTGAATGCCTGGGTGTGGGAGAAGGGAGGAAATTGCATGATGCTGAAAATTGTGTTCCTGGAGGGGTCGAAGCCTCTGAGCAGCAGGTGGGACAGAGCCCAGGAAGGTTAGAAAATCACATTAATCCAGACAGCTCGATGAGATCCAGATCCAGAGTAGCTTTGTTCAACTTTATTTACCTAACGCCTCCCTTTACTAAGTGTAAGTAAATGAATTTTCTGCTCAGGAACAATAACAGAGATGTTACATCAACCCTGGCTGCAAGGCCTCTGAAACACCTTCCTGCTCTTTTAGATACAGAGGTGAGGGGCAGTGACATTTCCTCCTGTTAGTTGTCTGTTTAATTGCTGATGATTTTGCCAGACGTGAACCTCTGGTGCTGAGCTCCCTCAACTCTGCTGCCTGCTCCAGGCTGAGCATAATCCTGTTGCTTTAACATTCCAGCAAAGCTCCTTCAGCCAAACCTGAGCTGGAGGACCTTGGCTTGCTCTGCCCATCCCCATACCACTAACACAAATGTTCTGTAACCATCCCACTGGGAAGGTCAAATGCCCTTGTGCTTTGGGGCAGGGATCTACTGGACCTGCACCTCCCCTTCCTTCAGGGCTGTGCCACTTGCTGGTATCTGTGGCCAGGTCATTAACTGCAGAAAAGCTCCATTCTTTGTAATTTGGGTGAAAACTGAGAGCATGAATCCTCTGAAGGTGCTGCACTGGGGCTAAGCAGCCTCAGCCTCAGCACAGCTCCTCTGTGGAGAAGTGTTTAACCCATGGGATGGGTCCAGCCTTGCCTCAAAGCTGGGTGGCTGGTGTGGGATGCAGAAACACCTTTATAGCCAGCAGGTAACTCCCCCCATTCCAGGATAGACAGAGGGAAGAGTCACCCCCTGGAGATACCCCTCACTCCTCTTCTTGTGCTCCCAGCTATAAGCAAAGATGACTCTTTTCTATCAGCTTCACAGCCCTGAGATGGCCAGAATTAGGTCAGACAAATCCCACTCTGAAACCTTTCCCTCTTGGCTCTTCCTCCTCTGGCTACGCATTGCTCCACACCCCAAAATCAAACCCCACATGGGTTTCCCCATCTTTATCCTTTAAAACTCACCCCTTCCCAGCAGCCAGGGTGCAGCAGTGCCCCCGGGGCCAAGGTGAGGGGCTCTGCAAATACACAGACCCCGGTTTCTGTGGTGCATCTCCTCCATAGCTGCCTGTAATGATTCAGCCTTCAAAGAATGAGCTAATATTGAGCGTTTGGAATGAGGAGCTACTCAGAGAAAAACAGCTCTGTGGAGGCTTCCTGGCTACATTGCACCACATGAGTTATGGGTTGTTTTTTTTCCCCATCTTTTGTAATTTGTAGAAAAGTCTAAGTTTCACCTTGAGTAAGAGAGAAAACATTTGAATTTCTAGCCTCTGGAAGGATGTTAGAAAACATGAGAAGAGGTTGAGTTGCCATCTGCCTCTCTGCTGGTCATGATGCATTAATACAATCAAGAGCAGCACAGACAAACAATTCTGAGCACCAGCAGCAGCGAGAGGGTTTGCTGGAGTTATACCTTCCACAAGAGCAAATTCTGCACACCCCAAATTGATAAATTAACGCTCAGAGTCTGTTCTCTGCACAGCCTGTGGGACGGATCGACTGGTCCACATCCACTTCTCCGTGGGCAGCACTTCCCCAGTGCTGGCAACATGATTATTGGAAAACTAATCAGCTCGACCAGAGATAAATTGCATTTCCACCAGTTCTAGCTTAATTGTTGACAGATGGGAACACAGAAGGGAGATGTGTCACATCATTAAGAGAACAGGTGTATAGACAAGTGCCAGATTAATTGTTCCAGCCCATTAAATCATTGACCTTTTCAGCATACCCTCAACGTCGAACTCTTCTGGTATTTCCAGCTCACACACGATGACCGTGGTGATCAGAAAACTTCTCAGGGGTGTTTTTAAAACAGGCAGACTGCAGACAAATGCTCATTAGCCACAAGCAGTTCTCCTTTCTCATTCAGCTAATTTCTCTTCTTCTTCCTCTGTTTGGGGTTGGATTTCTTGGCTTTTCAGTGCAATCACGCCAGGCATGTGGTTTTTCTCCAAGGAGCAGTTTCCTCCATGGAGTGTGTAGATAACCTGTAATGGGCTATACACTTAGGGATGGCAAAAAGAGAGAGAGGTGAAACCAGGACAGAGAAGCTCAGTGCTGGGCAGCTGTGCTGGAGGCTCCAGCTTTGATTTGGGGCTTTGGCTGTGATTTTTGGCTGTCCCAGGCTTCTGCTCTGCCTGGGGTTTTCAATAAATCTTGAGAGAGACAAAGAGCCAAATACCATTGACACTGAGTCAGCCATGGGTGCCTAATTCCTCTAAATATGTGTAAAAATGTGCCTCCTGCTCTTTTTCTGGCTACGTAAGCCAGGAAGCTGAGGATGCAGTACAGACACATCCAAAACAGCTTTGTGGGAGGTAGCACGGGTTGGAGACAGTGGTGCAGGACGTGCCTCATCTGTCCCAAGCTTCCCAAGCCCTGCACTGTCGTGCATAGCTGAGAACTGACACCAGAGCTAGTTATTTGGGATGTTCTGACCTGGAAAATGAGGTTTCCAGCTGAAGGAAATGAAAGCTGCTGTGATGCTGATCATATCTGTTAATCCTGCAGTCCCTGCCCTGTGCCAATGAGCTGATTTGAAGATGTTTTCTTGGGTAGGTTTTAGAGAGACCAAGTGGAGAGAGACCTAGGAAGACAGGAGGTACAAGGAGGAGGTCATGTCCTTCATCAGCTCTGCAGATTCAAACAGAGGTAAAACTGGTGCTGGAATCAGGCAGGTCTTTTTCCCAGGGTTGGTGGTGGGCTCTCTCCCTCCCTTGTGTAGCACCAGTCCCCCACCTAGAATCATGGAACCATAGGATGGTTTGGGTTGGGAGGGACCTTAAAGATCATCTAATTCCAACTCTCCTGCCATGGGCAGGGACACCTCCCACTAGAGCAGGTTGCTCAGAGCCCCGTCTAACATGTGTCTAGTTTGTCACAATAAAATAGCTATAAGATATGGGGGTTTATATATTTTATATATAAAATTTTATATAGAGAACTTACTGTGTTCCACAAACCTGGTGCACCTTTACTGCAGTGGCCTTTACAGACCTACAGAAACAACCAGAACTGGCTGAAGTTCCCTCCCAAATAATGAACGATTTTATAAGGAAAGGCAGATAATTTTATGAAAAAATAGTTTAAGAGAGATGGAAACAGCAAGAATCTCTGATAGATCAGACACCTTTCATACACCATCTTTTTCATTATACTTGGAAATGTCAGCTTGCAACAGGGCAGCTTGTTCAAATTCCCAGTGGATGCAGCAGTCTTGCCCAGCACCACCAGTGTACGTGTCTGCAGGAGGTGCTGGAGATCCCTCATTTTCCACCTTTCCACTACATTGAACCCTGGACAGAGAAGGCAGGTGAACCCAAGCCAGCTTTTTTGGAGGATTTTCCATAAAACTGCAGGTTAGTACTGAAAGTAGATGTAATTCTGTGTCTGGGGCAGGGAGGAGAGGAAATCCTAAGAAAAAAAAAGTCCAAACATGAGTTTTATAAATGCCAGAATGTTTCTTTTTAAAGCTTCCTAAATTAATCCTTTTACCTTGCATTTTGAACTGGTTTGTTTTTTTTTTTTTTTTTTTTTTTTTTTTTTTTTTTTTTTTGTGTGTGTGATTTAGAAAAGCATATAAGTTTAAAAACACATTAAACAGAAATGTTGAGTAACCCAAAGGCAAGCAAACCATTTCATTGCAGCTGGAACGAAATATCTGGGGTTAACCCAGAATATTTTCCAGCTTCTCCTTCTTTTCATTTTGCCAGCCTCCTCCTGTCACCCCCACTCCATCGCTGCACAGTCCAAGGTGTTTTTTCCCCAGGTATTCTGATGCAGCCACACACTGCAGCGAGTCATTATTCACTCCACACCAGTGATCTCCTCACCTCCAGCTGGACTTTCCACCAGCCCCTCCTCCCAGAAAGGCTGCTCACTCTGAACATGGTGCCTTCACCCTCAGTCCATCCATCTAGAGGGGTTTCAGCCCCACCAGAGCTGGGGGTGTTTCTTCAGCACGTCCATCTCACCCGAAGCCATCCCACTAGATATCCCTGTCAAAGAAGTCATCAAAGAGAGAAACTCTCTCTGTCTTGGTTCTCACAAGCGTAGGTTTGCGCTGAATCTTCTCTTCCCTTTCCCACTCCTCAGAGCCCGTGCTGGAGGTGTCCCAGAACAGATCCCTCGTCTGCGGCTCCCTGCAGAACCACAAGTCAACCTTCCCCTTCCTGCTTGGAGAGAGCTCAGCTCCACCCTGCTGCCTGGAGAGTCCTCCACCCCTTGTGTTTCCTTGGGGAGAAAAACAAAACAAAAATGAAATTGTGATTTTGTGGAGTTGCATGCCCAGTCCCAAGGGATTTGTCTGGAGATGGCTATGGGTAGCTGGAGGCATGTAAAGAAGGTCCTGAGAGATCCCTGGAAGACCAGACCTCATGCTTGGGTAAAATATACTCAGGATTATACCTGGTGAAATTCTGGAGTGTGGCAAGAGCCAGTATGGATTTATCCCTGAGCAGAAGAGAGCTGAGGTGAAGAAAGACGAGGGAATAGGAGCAGCCAGGTCTGTTCACCTTTCCCCTGATGAAAGTTCACTGGCAGACAAGTCTGCCACCAGTTTAAGCATTTTTTTACCTTCAGTGACAGGTTTCCAGCCTGTGCTGAAGGTTGTCTCATGCAAACAAAGCATACCAAGGCTCGTGACTCAGGGGTGTCAGTAGGAAGTGGTGGCTGAGATTGTCTTCAAATTCGTCTTTGCTGGGGACAGTAAGGTCCCTGAGGACTTTGCTTTTAAGCCCCTGTGGCTATTCCATAGCTCTTCATTCACATCTATTCAGGTCTGCTGGCATCTGAGAAAGAGCCCAGAGACCTGCACCATGTTCTGAGCATCCCAACACTTTGCCTTGCAAACACATCTCCCAGCCTTCTTCCCCTCAAGAAACAGCATATCTCCCAGTCTCCCCCCAGGTCTTTTGAACTTGCACCATGTCACTGCAGGGGATGGAGCAGCAGAATCAGCTTCCACAGGGAAAATTCTCTGATGACATTTCAGAGGCTGGAGAATTTTACATCTCCTTGGAAAATTGTTCTACTTACCATGATAGTCTCCATGAAAATGCCGATTTGCAGGAACAAGGTCGTGGCTTTCAGCTCTGTTGCCTCTCTGGAGAGTGTCAAGGACTTTCTTTGGGCTGGATTCCTTGTTTTTTTGTTTATTGATTTTTGCCTCCCTGTGGAGATTTCTCTTCAGCTCTGCCTGGGTTTGCAAACGAGTCGTCAACACAAGCAGCAGAGGAGCAAACGCGTCTCAACAGCTCAACGTGGCCTGTCATTAGGGGGTTGGCACTGAGAAGAATTACTCAGTCGAGTAGTTTAACCAGGGGAAAAGGTATTTACCAAACTGGGTACATGACACAGCGTTACCCAGATGGAGATTTTTGGTTTCTCCCTGAGCCACGGCCAAATGAGGGCAAAGCACTGGAAAAATCATAATTATTGATCGCTGGGGACGCTCCTCACCTCTGCTCTGCCTGAGCCACTGGGAAAGCTTCATTTGACCTTCCCAACAACAGGCTTTCAGCCTCCTGGTCCATGGCAGAGACCCCAGGGGTGGGCAGACCCCTGTCCAGGAGGGGAAGCCCCATCCTAACCCCAGATCCATCTCAGCGTTACCTCTTGGCGCCTGCAGGTCAAGTCCAGCATCTGCAGCTTGTGCAAGTGCTGCCGCCTGTGAGGGAGGTGTCTCAGGCTTTGCCCCCTCTTCTCCAGAGCCTACGAGGGGTTTAAACACACAAAGAAATACACCTGCACCTTCTGAAAGGGGAAGGAACAGCCCCCAGCTCACAATCCCAGCCCCTGGGTGCTCATCAGCCAGGTTTGCCCCACGCAGCCAACTTGCTAGCCCTTTATCACAGGCTCTCCGTGCACTTCCAGTTTAACTCACAGCTCTGGGGCACAATGGGGAAAAAATCTTCATTAAAGCAATGTCTGTGTGCTTCTGTGCCACGGGAGAGGAGCACAGCTGGTGTAGAACACCAACTTCTGCTCTGTGAGGTGCCCAGGCTGCGAGGGAAGGGAGCTTGCTGCCAGCAGGGATCCATGGATGGAGCTCAACCCACCACCTTACCTTTGGTTTTGGGGTTACAGCCACGTCTTGCTGACACCAGGGCTTTGCAGGGGTGATTGTGTGCAGATTGCAGCTTGGGCTGGCAGGTTCAAGCCTCTACAAGTACAATATTTATCATATTTAGCATTGCTTGTTCCACACAATCAGAAAACCTGGTGTGAAACTACCCTGAGACTTTTCCAGCTCCAATGCTGGCCCAGCTGCTTGGGGTACAGGAAGGAGATTAGCAGCTCTAACAAATTCTCAGCAAGATGAACATCTCCTTTGGTTCTTCAGGAGTGGACAAAGCTGGGGCAATCTCCCGCATTGTAGCCAAAGCAGCAAAAGCCCAGTTTGAGATGAGTTTCAGCCTGTAGATATTTCTTTTTGAGCCTCAGCAGTGGCCAAGGCTCCAGCCAAGACCAGAGTGAAGACAAACCTCAGCTCAGATGTTTCATGTCTAAGCTGAAGCATGGAGAGGTATCATAATTTGATATAAAGTCTCCTAGCAAGTTATCCCAGGGCAGATCCCAGTTAACTGAGACCCAGAGCACTGGTCCATCTCTCCAACCAGTCTCTTTTATGTTGGTCTAAGACCATTCCCTGCAGAACAGTGCATGGTGCAAAGTGTCTTTCCTGGTGGCTATGGGAGTGGGCAGAGACTCTACAGAGTGCTCTGAGCGTGGGTTTTTACCTAAAGGAGCTAAGTTGCCTCCTTAACTCATACCAAAGTACTAGACAACCCTGGGTCATTTCATGGCTTCATATTGCCAGTGTCTCCTTCTAGGATGGGGGCTGAGGGTAGATTCAGAATAAACATAAGAAAGAAATTTTTGATGAGGGTGGTGAGCCCCTGGCCCAGGCTGCCCAGAGAGGTGGTCGCTGCCCCATCCCTGGAACCATCCCAGGTGAGGTTGGCCAGGGCTCTGAACAGGATGCTCTTGTTGAAGACATCCCTGCTCACTGCCAGGAGGTTGCAGTAGTTGGCCTTTGAAGGTCCCTTCCAACCCAAATCATTCTAATATTCTATGATTCTATCATTCTCAGTGCAGCTTTCATATAAATTATGGGGAGCATCATCATGGGGCTCATCAGTAAGACCTGACTTACATTCCATGTGGGACATCATTAACTCTTTGAATACAAACCAGTGTCAGATAAATGGTGACATGTCTGTGACTGTTTGCACAGAACTGCTGTCAAAGCCTGAGCAGCCTGTAATTCAGTGCAAGAACACAGGAGATAAAAAGGTCAGCAGCAGCATGTAAAGGAGGAATTCCCCATCACCCTGAATGCCAAGTTCACATGTTTTTAGCATCACAAAACCTCACAAAACTGAATAGAAAGCTTAATAAAATGGCACTAGATGGCAGCATGTGACACCACAAACTGCAGCCCGGGCTGTGCATTACTCCCAGATGCCACCAAGGCTGCCAGTGTGGGGTGGCTGAAGGCAAATAAACTCCTGGGTCTATCTGCTCATCTTCCTCAGCCTGGAAGGGAAGCCAAATTTCAGGTTTTGGGCCAAAGTTGTGTTGCAGGCTGGAAAATTGACTCCTTTCTGTCATCTCTGTGAACCTCGTGGGATTCTGACTGAAATCCTCTAAAAGTCCTTGAAAAGGCCACGTCACCCAGCTCTGCTGTCCTTGGAAGTACTCCCCTGGGAAAAGGGCTTTTCCTGGGGCTGTTTCCCCAGCCCACCAGCAAAGGCAGAAGGATGGGGCAGGATTAGCAGTGTCACTCTAGTAATGACTTGTGTCAGGGTTTTAATACCACCTAAATACAGCTGTAAGGGAAAGAAGATCACAGAATCAGACTGGTTTGGGTTGGAAGGGACCTTTCAAGCTCATCCAGTCCAACCCCCCTGCCCTGAGCAGGGACATCTGCAACTAGAGCAGGTTACTCAAAGCCCCTTCCAACCTGGCCTTGAACACTTCCAGGGATGGAGGCAATCAATGGCTGGAAATTAGATGCTGGTGGGAGGTTTTTAATGAGGCTGTGACTGTGTGTGACAATGCACAGGGTGTAGCTGGGCTCACTCCAGGTGCTGCTGCCTCGTTCCCCCACCCAATCCAGGGGCACATCAGTTGATGGTGGCTGCCTGTGCTCTCTGAAGCCACCAGCTTGGCAGGAGCCACAGCCCAGAGTGCAGGGGTTTGACAGGCTCTGTCTGGTGGCTCTTCTGTCCTTTATTATACTAAAAAAAAATCTTCAGGGGACTACCAGAGAGAGTCCAGTGGAGGATACAAAGATGATGGAGGGGGCTGGAGCATCTTATGTAGAAAGGCTGAGAGACCTGGGTCTGTTTTGTCTGGAGAAGACTGAGAGGGGACCTGATCAGTGGTGATCAATACCTAAAGGGCAGGGGGCAAGAGGATGGGGCCAGACCCTTGTCAGCGGTGTCCAGCAACAGGACAAGGGGCAGTGGGCACAGACTGGAAGGAAATTCCTTTTAAATATAAGGAGAAAATTCTTTGGTGTGAGGGTGCTCGAGCCTGAAGCAGCTGCCCAGAGAGGCTGTGGAGTCTCCTGCTCTGGAGAGATCCCAAACCCACCTGGATGTGATCCTGGGTGACCTGTTTTAGCAGGAGGGGTGGACAAGATGATCTCCAGAGGTCCATTCTAAGCCCTACCAGTCTGGGATTCTGGGAACAAGACTAACCACAACAAGGAACCTTGAGCGTAGCAGCCCTGCCTCAGTGGGCTTTATGGGATGGGTCATGTGCAAAGGGTTTGTCACCAGAGTTTGGGAGATGCTCTCAGAGAGGAACAGGAAGCTCTCAGAGCAGCACAGGGAGGGGAGAATTTCACCCAAGGATTTCAGCTGCAAGGGGTTATGTAGGTGCCTGGGGAGGAAGATGACCAGTGCAGGTAGCTGAGGGGCATCTTGGTGCTGGTGTAACCCAAGGCAGGCCCAGGGCTGCTCCAAGCTGCACCCAGTGCTGGACTGACCCAGCACTCACTGGAGCACTGCAGAAAGGTTCATAACCAGTGGAGGAAATACTCTTTCATGGGTTAAACAGCCAAGGAGTGTGGTTGCCTCTATTCATCCTCAAGCACGAACCACAGAGGACTCTCTCCAGCCACCTGAAGGGTCTGTTGACATGCCAGGTGGAGCAGGGCTCTTAGAGGGGTCTCAGCAGCAGGTAGAACATTGAGCCTTAATTGCTAATTGAAAGTCCTGTTTAAATGGGAGAATGGGGGTGGGTTCTTTCCAGTGGCGGAGTGCTTCTCTCAGCAGAACACTCTGCTGCATCTGTGCTTGGAGGGTCTGCTCAAGTTGTCCCTTTCCCTGCCTGATTTTATTCCTCTGAGCCATGTTTGCTGCCAGTTTTGGAGCCTGCAGACATGAGCCAAGCAGCAGAGAAGAAAAGCAGCCGAAAGCCTCAAGCAGAAGCTTTCCCTGAAAGAAAAAGGTGCGAGGAGCAAAGTGAGGGAGATGGGGCAAGCAGAAGACCTGAACCTGGTGTCTCTGATGTCCACCCTGGACCCTCTGTTGGCATGTAAGAAGGACAGGAGACCTCTAATATCAGACAAACACCGGTAGTTTTGCATTCTCAGTGGTGAGCAGGTAAGAGGTGGGAAGCTGGAAAGCATTGCTGCTGGTTTGGAAGGTGTGGAGAAGCAGTGAAAATGCAGGTGGAGCAGAAGAAGCAGATTCTATGGGTGGGGGCTTTAAATCACCTGCCACATTCCCTTCCTTCCTCTGCAGTAGGTTGTGTGGATGTGGAGACACTTCTGAAGCTTTAGTTATGTTGTGGTAACTTTTGTGGAGGAAAAAGACCTGATTTCCAGGCCAGGCAGAGTCACGGGTTTCAGGGCTTGGAAGGAGAACAAGGAGGAGAGAACATCTCACCTGGAGTGGAGTCCTCAGCACAGCAGAGCCAGGGACCTGCTGGAGCGGGGCCAGAGGAGCCCCAGCAATGCCCCGAGGGGGGAACCCCTCTGCTGGGAGCCCAGCAGGAGAGAGTTGGGCTGGGGCAGCCACAGAGGAGAAGGCTCCAGTTGGGGGCTGCCAGGGCTTAAAAGGAGCCTATAAGGGGGGACAAGGGGGGATGGTTTTAAGTTAAAAGAGGGAGATTTAGACTAGAGAGAAATACTTTATGCTGAGGGTGGTGAGCCCCTGGCCCAGGCTGCCCAGAGAGGTGGTCGCTGCCCCATCCCTGGAACCATCCCAGGTGAGGTTGGCCGGGGCTCTGAGCAACCTGCTCTAGCTGCAGATGTCCCTGCTCAGGGCAGGGGGTTGGACTGCATGGACTTGAAAGATCCCTTCCAACCCAAACCAGTCTGGGATTCTAGGATTCCATGTTTGTTTTGGGGTCGTTTTGGTGTCTATGTGGATACAAGTGTGCGTGTGGCCACCACGCTGTTGAGGGAGGAGGTGAAGGTCTCTGTAGCACACGTGGCAGTTCTTGCAGCCTCTAATAATTGTTCTGCACTTTCAGGGGCCCTTGCTGCAGAGCACGTCCTGCTGCTTTACCTGCCTCTGCCCAAAGCTGATGCCACACCCTGAGGCCAGACTTGGCCTGAAGAGCCAAATCCAGCCCCACGTGGTGCAAGTTGGATCCCTTCTGCAGAGGGCTCTGGTCCTGGCCATGTTAGCCCTGTGGGAGCACCAAGGCTTGGCTGTGGTACTCGGGAACCACAAAAGCAAGCAACAGGAGAGGTGGCCTCATGGGCAGCACTGGACTCATGTCCTTGTTGGGTGTCTCCACAGCACACAAGGGCTGGCCAGTGAGGGATGGACTCGTGGAGTTGGGCAGGAGGGCAAAGGCAGAGCCTTGCTGTATTGGCCTCTCTTTGACCCTTCTTAGGAGATGAAGTCCTCACCCTTGTGCTAATGAACCAGAAATAACCCCTCTGCAGCAAGCTTAGAATCATAGGATGTTTGGGGTTGGAGAGAACCTTTGGAAGGTCACCTAGTCCAACCCCTCTGAAGCATACCTGCCCTGCCCCAAGTGTCAGACTGGGGCTGCTGGCAAAGCTCATCTAGGGATGATCATCTAGAGATAGAAGCTTCTAGTTGCATTGCTGTGGGATAACTCTTCCCCTGCCATGGTGCTGTCATGTGCCCATGTCCCCAAGAAGGGCCATGTCAATAGGGTCAGCAGGGAGCTTTTCAGCCTTGTCTTACCTGGGGTGGTCGAGGTGGGTGCTGTTTAATGATGCTGGTTTCTCCCTTTTCTGGCACAGTGTTGAAAGAAAGGGGCCCTTAAAGATTAGAGAAGAAATGGATGAAGTCACTTGGATGATCATCAACTGCTAGGTTGTACTCAGCAATAATTATCTGCCCTGGTTTTTGGTTGTTGTGTCCCAATAAAATCTTTATGTGCTCCTGTAGCACATGGTGTAAATTATGTACCTCTACCATGTACCTCTCCTCCTTCCACCTCCAGCCTCTCATGCATTTTATACCTGGCAATAACCATCCTCCATGTCCTCTGTGGCCTCCTTGGCTCTCCCAGGTGACCAAGAGTCCTTGTCCCCTCTTGTACCCTGTGACCAGCAGCTGGCCAGGGAACTGTGAGCTTTGCTGCTTCCTCCCTGCCTGTCCTTCTAAAGTGGGCAACAAGCAGCAGTTTGGGGCTGCTGGGTCCCTGAGACTTTTATTGTTGGTTTTTTGGATGGAAGTGGGAAGTATCTCTGATGCTTTTACTGGCTGCAGCAGAGCTGGGCTACAGCCAGCCTGTGGGTTTAGAAGTTAGTGGTTTACAGTCAGACAAGTGGTACAGCCACAGCCCCTCATCCTTGGAAATCAGCCTGAAAACACCTGCTACACACCAGCACTCACCTGTCAGCTTTGAAAGCAGCATTTCCTCTGGGGCCTGAATGTGACCTGGGTTTGGGGGGTTCTGGGCTCATGCTCCTGGGTGGACACCTCTGCCTTTTTTCTTGCACAAATAAACCCTTGTGTGTGCAGTAAGTACTTCTTGTACAAAAGAGTTTCTCTATCCCAACTCTTCTAAAAAAAAAAAAAAAAATTAAGTCTTGGTGCATTCAAATTTCATTTTATGTGTGGAATTCAGTGAGGTGATGCTGAGCAGCTCCTGCTCCCATGTGGTGGGACCCCCAAGGTGGCTACAGGAGAGGAGAGCTGGAGATAAACTACAGGGATTACATTATAGGTGATGCCCAATTTAATAGTTCTATGAAAAAGACAATTCAGGGACTTCAGTGGTCCCTTTAAATGAGCCCCAGGGAAGATTGCCAAGGCAGGGCTCGTGGAGGAGAGAGAAGTGATGGAGAGAGGGCACTGGGCTGTGGGAGGAGGTGGTGGCTCCATTGGATGAATGATTTCTGGGCTCTGCAGAGCTCTGGCAATGATTAACCACCAAGTGAAGCTGCAGCTGCTCCACGCCCGCAGGAATGGGGACCTGGAGTGAAGATTTCCAGCTCAGGCAGCTCCCCTGCAGACAACTTGTGCAGGTGCTGAGATGGGGGCTTGTGATGGCAGCAAAAGGAGGGTGATTGTCATTGTCACCCAAACTGGAGGACAAATCAGTGCAGAATTTCTGAGGGGGCAATAAAACATGAGGAGGTGGCTCACAGTGCTGGGAAGGTGGGACATGGCACAGGCAAGGGCTGGGGCTGGGGAGAGGCTTGTTCTGCTGAGGGGAATGGGCTTGGGGAAGTTATTTCTCTTACAAGATTTCCTTTATATATGTGTGTATATCAATATTTAGATTATTCCTCTCACCTTATCCATGCACGGGTCTTGTAGGAGCTTTGCCCTTACCCTCTGGAGATACAGAACTGTCTGATGTCCCCAGATCTGCTCAGTCCTGAGACAACAGTGGACACCTGCCTGTTGCCAGCAAGGAGGGGTCATCATCCCACCACAGGGGCAGGGGGTCTGAGCTGAAGGCCTTCTCATGGCTTCTGTTTTTCACCTTTGCACTTCAGTAGCAGCAGATTCTCCCCACTGGGAGATGGGAATTAACACATGCTCATATGAACCCTCATAAACCAAATAAAACCTACTCTCCTGGAGGCTTTGCTTCTTCAGAGAGCAGCTCAAGGTAATACACTGCTCAAGTACTCTTAAGCATACTCTCTTTTTATTTCTGAAAATGAAAAGTAATAGCAAATGACAAGGGGGTTTTAAAATTTGTGGTCTGTTTTTTTTTATAAAAGTAGATGTTTTATAAGCACTTGTTAAATACCCAGGGATGATAATTTCCCAGAGCAGGATTATTTGGTTGTTCTTGCTGTGTGAAGCACCTGAAACCTGCTGTTGTGCAGCCAGACCTCATCTGTACTCAGCTCAGGACCCCTGGCTCTGGGAGCACCACTGCTATCGTGTCAGAGGATTATTTGCTTCCACCTTCTCCTGACACCTCTTGGTGGATGCTCTTGAGGAAACATCCAGCCCACAGTGGAGCAGCAGAATTTAAAGCTGCTCAGCATGTGTCAGAAATCCAGTTCTGGAAATGGGAAGAGGGAAGGAGGGTGCTGGGGCTGCAGGTCCTCCTTCCCCCATCCTGCACCTTCTCACACCACGCTGGCACTCATGGGGCTTCAGAGAACCATAGGGTTATAGAATGGTTTGGGTTGGAAGGGACCTTAAAGATCACCTAGTTAGGTGAGAACCAAACCCATTGGCTGGCTGTAGTCAGCAAAAGCATTAGAGAGATTTCTCAGTCCCACCAAAAAAAGCAGCAATAATCGTCTTGGGGACTGAGCAGCAAGGGAAGCCCCAAGCTGCTGCTTTAAAAGGACAGATGGGGGAAGCAACAAAGCTCACAGGTTCCTTGGCCAACTGCTCATCACAGGCTACAGGAGAAGAGGACTCTTGGTTACGTGGGAGACATGGGGACTCACCCAGTGGGGTCATGGGAAGCTGTTCATTACCCTCCAGCCCACTGTACAGAGCCAGGCATCCCCTGTCAGATGGATGCAACCCTCCTTCCCTATGTCTGGACTCCAGCCCTGCTGTGGGAAGCCCCTGGGGAGGCTGCCTGGTGCCACTTGTAGAAAAACACACCCAGCTTTGCTCTTTGCCTGCCTCTGCCTCTTGACACTGCCCTATGTGAGGCACAGCTGACATTTGTTTTAGTGCTGAGCTTTGTCTGCTGAGCACATTACCCAGAGCCTACTCCTAATTAAGCTAATGATGTTGCTATGGTGGTGCAGAACTGGGAGGAGTGGCTGGTACCCCAGGAGGCTGAGCTGCCCCTCGGTGAGACCTGGGCAGGCTGGAGAGTTGGGCGGGGAGGAACCTCATGAAGTTCAAGAAGGGCAAGTGTTGGGTCCTGCACCTGGGGAGGTATAACCCCCTGCTCCAGGACAGGGGAGGGGTGTCCTGCTGGGAAGCAGCTCCTCAGAGAAGGACCTGGGAGTGCTGGGGGACAACCATCAGCCAGCAGTGTGCTCTTTGTGTCCAGGAAGGCCAATAGTCTCCTGGGCTGCATGAAGAAGAGTGTGACCATCAGGCTGAGGGAGGTTCTCCTCCCCCTCTACTCTGCCCCACTGAGGCCACCTCTGGAGTCCTGTATCCAGCTCTGGGCTCCCCAGTTCAGGAGAGACAGGACACTACTGGAGAGAGGCCAG